CCTTAATCGGTATCGTGGGACTTTTTTTTTCAGGTTCTGATGTAAAAATTGTGTTTATATACATATATATGTTGTCATATTTGTCATGATATTATGAGGTTCTTTGTATTTGGACAGTTTTTATTTCTTGGTTATTCCTGTTTGGATTTCTTTATTATTCTTAAATATTACGAGTTTTAGTCTTTTAAGTTTAGATCTTCCAGACCTGCTTTGATTTTGTCGTCTTACACCTCCTCTTTGTCTTGTTTTAGCTTTAGTGTCTTTGCCCTCTCGTGTTCCCTTTTTAATGTGTTTTCTTGTTTCCTTGCCATTTGTATTTTGGTTACTTTCGCTTTTACTTTGAAGATTCTTTTTTCTTTCATGTCCTGTAATTGTTACTTCCTGTCTCTGTTTTCTGCTGAATTCCCAGATTGTTCTCATGTGTTAATTACTTTCATCGGTCTTCTGCTCATGTTTCTTGTTGATTAATGACTCCTCTGTGTATTTATGTTCCTGTCTTCCCCTTAGTCTTTAGCAAAGTGTCTGCCATGCCCCCCTCTGTTTTTGCTGTCACACTTTGTGTTGTTTGGGTTCTAGTTTGTTGGAGTTTTTTTTAAATTAATTTTTCATTTGGACTGCTGCAGCAAAGGCTTTCCTTTTGTTGCCTGTAGTCTCCTGCATCCACAAAGTGAAAGCCTCGCTAAAGTTGACATAAATCTTTCAACTAAAACATTGTATATAAAACCCAAATCTTATTTTACCAACTGTAAAATGCACACCAAGGCGTGTTTCAAACTAATTTGAGGCTTTGAACACCTTAGACAAACCTACAAGTGAAATTTCACACTTTCATTGGTTTTCCAGGAGGAGACATATGTAAATCCTACTAACCCACTATATACCTACAATATTCTCACTCTGCAACAAATGTAATTTTTAAATGTGTAAGATCCAACTTAATCTATTCAGCTTGCAGTATATGGTAAATGTAGAATAAATAACCCTGTCTATATTTTTTTAAATTCAGATTATATGAAATTTCACACAGAGCTGGCAAAAGACACTATTTTGCACAAAAACGTTGTGCCTCATCAACCAAAAACATTACATTCACATCAGGCACTTACAATGTGTTTGTTGTTTGAGTGTGGAGATATGAATGATTTCCTTGTTCTACCAGTCTCAGGTTGCTGTTTCAAGAGTCCTCACCACTGTTTCTCGATTAGATTTTCAAGGATGTTAACATGAAAAACTGCATTTACAGCTTAATGATGTGATGGGAAGTTTGAGATATTTATCTTAGTTTGTCCACGTCGACAAAATTATCTTCAAAGTTTCTCAAAGGACAAGACAAATTCAGCACAGTAATAATTAGTATTTTTAATGTTAAAATAATTTTATAAGACAGTAGGTTTACATACCTCTGATGAATTACCTCTTTTTGGTTCCAAAGACATATATGGGGTACTACCAAAAGTCTGACCTGCATAGGCGCATCTGCTCAGTGTCCTCCTCAGTCATGCCGATCACATAATTGCTGCTGAGGACTAATGAGGGAACATAGCTGTCTGTAGTTTTTAGTGTGGACACAAAACGGCCAACAAAAAGCCAAGTTTAAAACCAGCCCACCGAGACTTTAAAGCGACAGCCACACCAAACAAACATGCACTGCACAGGCGGAAATGGAGGCTATGCTACAAACGTGACTGTTCATCACTGCCTTCGTTACCTGTTGAAGTTCATGGTCTGACTGCTGGGCTGGGGTCAGTAATCACGGAGCTTTAATATCATTCTGGATTTTAGGTTACTTTTGAGTCAGCGTGCAAAGTTGTGTTGGCAGTGTAATTGTTATGATGATTTCTGATATGAGGTTCAGTTCTACGGTGGTGATCGCAGGGTGTGCACAGGTCAAGTGCCACTATGACCCTCCAGAAAATAACGAGGACAGGGGATGATCGTTCAGGTATTTAATGGCAGATTTAGCGTGGGTGTGGGTATGTGTGTGGGTGGTTCAGTCTTATGGACGCACACTCTCATTGAACCCACATAAACTGCTCCCGAGCATAACTTGTGATTCACACTGCCTCCATGAACACCATTTTTCATCCCAGTCAAAACATTACTCACAAAACGGCCGTGCCCTCTAGTGGCGAGGCAGAAAACTGCATCACAGTCCTGCCTTCAGAACAGTAATGGTGACCCCATCCTGAACACAGAAACTAAAATCAGCACGTTATAGGGTGCAAAATTTTCATTTTCACTTTTTTTTTTTTGCATCCCTTAGATAAGTGAAGAAACTTACAACGGAAGTAATGTCATACTTCCAGAGATGGGAGGTAACGAAGTAGATTTTTCAGGTATCTGCACTTTACTTGAGCATTACCGACAAGTCTTTACTTTTACTCCCTACATTTTTAAACACATATCTGTACTTTCTACTCCTTACCTTTTAAAGCCGAGTTGTTAGTTTAAGTTCAACAGTATCATTCGTAGGGCAGTTAAAGGAGGCCGGAAGGAGTGCAGGTGTCCAAGTTGTGTTTGTGCTACTAGCATCTAGCTAGCTCTACAGAAGATTGGGGACGCATGAGGGGAGTTTTAAATTAGGAGATACTGTCATTTCAAATGTAACGTTTCTGTCTGCTCAAGAAACACCAGCAAACTGTTTGTGTGCAGTTTCTCGCACATTGTGTTGCTAGCTAAAATTCCAGCTGCTGTATTTCCCAGGGCCAGAAAGAAAAGAGCTGGAGAGGAAGAGAGGGGTTGTATTTAATGGTAAGGGCTACTCAGTCAAACGTGAATTAAATCTGCAGATTAAAATTTTAAATATTTTTACAGACTTTTTTCAATTTTCATATATTTGATTTGTATATCATGTGTTTTGATAAATTATGTATGTTTATTTTGTCAAAAGTCCTGCAAAACAAACTATACTAACTTTATTATTCAGTGTTGCATGAAAACATTGGGTAGTTTTTTTTTCTAAAATAAACAGGTTAGTTTGCAATACTGTGGTGAATTCAGAGTAAAGCTCTGTGTTGGATTGATACACAGTGGCTGTGGTGCTGAAGGTCAGATTTTAGTTACATCAAGTGTAGCAGAGATAAATTTGCATTTACGCTGATGATGCTTCCATTAATGAACTGAATTGCAACTTTATACCAACTCTGTATTATCTAGCATAAAGATAGTATAAACAGTATAGTGTCAGTGTAGGGGATGGATATCAGTCAAGATGGCTCATGAAACTGCTTACATATTGTTGAAATTAGCTTTGTAAATCCACAAAGAGCAGCAGGTCAGTTGATCACAGCATGTACACTAAGAAAACCTGTTGAAGCTCACATTAGAAATTACTGTGAGTTGTGATTCTTTTCCCTATGCTGAGGCATCCAACTGTAACCCCTGACTGTACAAACTTTCCTGTTTAGTTGTGGAGGCACCCTTTACAACACAGGCAACAGAAAATAGCTGTTTTTAAAAATAAAAATAAACTCTTTCACCATATGAGTCCTACATAACAGATCGAAGCTTTCATGAGAATTAGAATTTAGATTGAAATAATATTTTCCTTTCCATGTACTAATATTGTTTGCACAAGTTCAGTTACTTTTTTACAAAAAGAGTTATTAGAACTGTCCTTCAAAGAGCTACTTTTTACTTTCCTACTGTTAGTATATTTCAGAGCCTGTACTTTATTTTTGTACTTAAGTAAATAAGTTGCTTCAATAGGTCAGTATTTAATTGAGTATTTTTAAACACAGGTATCTGTAGTTCTAATTAAGTTTAAAAAAAAAAGTCAGTACTCTTGCCACCATTGCTGGAAAGTAGTAGTAGAAGTAAATTCAAGGACAGCTAGCAAAAGTCCCTCATTTTTATTTTTATTTTTCACTCTCCACAAGTAAAATTTTTGGACAGTTTAAACCAAACAGCAGGCCAGATATTTGTAAAATGACTCCAAATTGCTCCAAAAGGCACCACAAGCACGATGGCAGTGAAGAGGTCCATTTCACCATTTAACAGAGGGCTAGCAGACTCTAGAACAGCTATAACTAATTCCAGTTAACAGATGGAGTTAAAGTTCACCCAGCTATCCACACGTGTCAGAACCATTCTTTGAAGAGGTGGTGCACACGCTTTTTAATCCTGTGAAGTTGCATATCTAAGTGGCCCTTTGAAACTTGTAAGAATTAAGTGGATCTTTCAAGAAAAGCACTAATGACTGACTCATTATTTAACAGTTTTTCAGTGAATCATTTCTGAAGAATAATTTTAGCCACTTCTCAGAAATCACATTCACTTTCATTACTTTCCCAATTATGTTGTGCTGGCATTGTAACTTTTGGCTGGATTCCATTTTATGAAAAATTAATGTTCTAAATGAAATAAGTACCACATCTTTAAACTGCCTTAGAGTCGATGGAAGGTTTAGGCGTGTTGGTGAGGTGTACAAACTTTTACATTAGAGACCAGAATTTGGAAACCGATAGTCTGTGGTCAAATCCACATTGATGTAGTTAACAAAAAGATTGTGGTTTCGAGTAAGTCTAAATAAAAGCTTCTTTCAACTCACAGAGTAACAAACCAAGCTAGGATATTTTGTTTGCTTTAACCAGTGCTGTCAGTACCCAAACAAAGTCATACAAAAAGTAAATTATATACTGTTAGCCCTGTGATAGACTGGTAACCTGTCCAGGATGTACCCACATGTGTTTTTGTGTGTCTCTGCATGTGCATAAGCTGCTAGAATATTCCAAAATGACCAGGTCATTACAGTAAAACATTAAATGATGGTGTTCAAAAGAAGCATTAACATGAATGGATGATTATGTGTGGACCTGTCTTCTTTAATAACTACATTAAAATGGAAATAATTCGCATTCTAGCTCATTAACATTACCTGTCCACACTTTAATTTGAATTTCTTTAACATTCTGGTCAAACTCCAATGGCTAATTGGACTGCTTTAAGTTGAACTTAATTTAACAGTCTGCTAGCTTATCTTAAGTAGGCCTTTAGGCATTTTTAGTCCTTTTTTTACAAGCAGAATGTGAGACTAATTTACATTTACTTACGAAACAAAATGAGTTCTTTGTGTTAGTTTCTATTTCTGTCCTCTTTGCTTTCCATCTATCCAATGTTGCTGCTCTGTCTCAGTGAGAAGGACTAATGTCAAGGTGACTTTGGGGAGAAAAGTACAAAATGAAACTCACAAAACGTTCAATATTTGCAAGATGACACATTTTATATAGCAGCTGCATTTAATTTAGAGTTATTAGACCTAATGGTATGAGTGAAGGCTTTTTTTTTTGTCAATTTTTAATTATTGATACTGATTATTGAGGTAATGACTGCTTTATTAGTTGAGTTAATTACATGTGTTGTGGCTGAAATACAGCCCAAACCAAAATGAAGCCCTACAGTAATTTTAGTTATAAAATAATCTTGTATCCAATAGCTGCGATGTTATACTAAATGTAGAACAGTTTAGACAGCGGTTTATGTAAGCAGCAGGCTGTTTAATAGTTTCAAATATACCATCTGGTTTTATTTTTATTATTATTAGTAGTAATAGTAGTATTTTGTTATTATTATTGTTATTATTATTATTATTATTATTATTATTTGGCCAGCATGAAGTGAAATTGGTGTTAAATTACCCTTAACCTGTCCCATAATAATTTAATATAGAACGCTTGATGAATGATATATTTTGAACAATGTAAAGAAACATTTAAGGTAGGTTGTTTGTAAAACTACAACTTTACTGATTAACTGAGTCTTTAACAAACTTTAATTGTAGGTAAAGATGGACAGGCTTTTAAGATCATACATTTCTGTTTATACTTATTCCTGCAGCATCCGTCCATCCATTCGTGGCAGGGGAGTCTGAGCCTGTTAACCACCAATTAAGGCCGTACCCATGATAACCTCTGGTAAGAAAAATTCTATTTTCTTTATGAGCTGTAGTGACTCTTGAAATTGACACTGACCAGAAGCAGAGAATGTTTGCTTTCAAAGTAAAAGTTTCACCTTTACTTTGAAGGTGGACATTCTCCTTTTCTTTTGTGTTTTCAGTACTGCTTGGTAAGTTTTGTGTCAGTTTGCAGGAAGTCAGTGTCATTTATACAAGCTACTGGTGACCGCAGCAACAGGCTAGTGACCAAACCAACTGCAGTTTTATCAGCTTGTGTATACAATGAGATTTTCGGTACAGCACCATATACCTCTTTGCAAGGAATGGTTAGTGAGTGCCGTCATTCTTGTTACTGATCATTCTCTAGGCCTGTGAATGGGACTTTAGTACTCACTGTCAGAGCAACTGCAAGTAATTGTTGTACAAATCTTTCCTTTGTTATCCATGGTAGCTTGATGGTTACAGATTGGGTCTCTGAGCCTATTTTTTGTTTACATTGAGTAAAGCACTACAGTGATCCTTGACCAACTTCAAAAAATTGCTGATTGGCTTTCTCACATTTCTGTGAGGCGCTTTGACATTTGCATTAGGGTTTGAATTAGGGCAGGGAAATATGGCCAAAAATATTTATCACGATATATACTTGAAAGTTTGCGATAACGATATGTGACGCAAGACAAAATACTTTACAACTCCACAGCTTTATTAGTGCAAAAGAACCCCATCAATGTATTTTCACTTAAACAGGTATATAAAAAAATTAACAGTGCAAATGCAAATTCCTTGCTGACAGTTTAACCAAAAGGTATTTCCAGTGGAATTTGGATATGTCGGCCAATTTCCACTGGAAATACCTTTTGGTTAAACTTTGGTCATCCGTTTCATTCAACGATCCGCTTTCGCCCTCCTCTTTCTCCGTCGCCGCCATGCTTTTTCCGCCATGTGCGTATGAAAACAAAGGCACTGTGCATGCGTGTTTACCTATATTCTATCGCGATATTTCATTTTCTTATCATTGCCTAACATTATACTGGTATTACCGTGAACGGTATGATATGGCCCAGCCCTAGTTTGAATTATAAGTTGGCGATTCCAAAACATTAGCTCTGACCATTCTTTGATAGAACGATTTGTTATTATGCAGATTTTCTGACATTTTCCTTCAAAGTTTCTTAGTTTAATCACAATTCATTGTTAGTCAATAACTGCGAGCTGTTCTGGCCCATGTGGATACAGGAGAACAGGCTCTCACCACCATGTTTTTCAAATGCAAAAAGATTTTTATTGCTGGAAAACAATCTCCTGTATCTCATATTTCTACATATGTGTATTTACCCTGGGTTCATTTTTCTTCCTAGATTATTATTATCTTTGTACCTATAATGTATGATAAAGGTGAATGTGATAGATTCGGAAGAAGATTCATAATGTATTAAAAAAATAATAAGTACTAAGAATACTGTAGGCTCTACTACTATTGTGATGAATATGCCTGAATGGAATTTAAACATTTAAGCTTTTAAAACAAAAGAAAACAAAACCCCACAACTCCTAAATGGTATCTGCAAGCTGCCAGAATATGTTGGCTAGATATGCACTGTTAATGAAAAATGTACTCTTTAAAATTGCATTTATAGTGCAGCTGCCTTGTACTAGCATGGGTGAAGTCTCGGTTTTGTCCACTAGATGTCAGGAAGCTCCCAGATTTCAGAATGAACTTCCCAGCATCCTACTCTCAGAGCACTATTACATCTAAACTTCAGCGTAAACAACTGCTTTCTACCTCAAAATAAACTGTTAAATCTCATCATAGTTCAATTAAAATGTCCACAGGTACTTTTTTAAATTCAAATTTCACTGCACATAAACACAAAACATTATGTGAAAAAAAAAAAAATACACAAACACAGATTTCTTTTTATTTATAAAAAAAAAATGACAAAAGTAGTCCTCAGTCAAAATCAAATCCTCTTGTTTTGGACTCTTGAAAGACTCACACAACATCCACCTAAAGAGGGAGACATTACATTATAAATCAACATACTGGCTCTGTGTCTTAGTTCACATCTCTGTATATATCATGAAAAGCATGAACTTTTTGAACCAATTCAGTCTTACTAAAATAAAAAAAACTCCTAATATTGGTTTTATCTATAGAACACTCGACTTTAGCCTTTTGAAGCAGCTTTAAATTTTCCTTTGCATTTTCTTTTCTTGTCAGTGTTTCACCATACGCAGTATATACCAAGAGTCATGTGTGAATATAGTCAGAAGATGGCAATGGTGTCAGGTTATTGCTTGGCACTCAGTGTTGGTGGGCTGGACAGGCATCTGCTCCGCACTGAGAAGGGCTCCTTTCTGCCTGCTGGAGATCTTGTACTGGCTGCTTGAGTCAGCCCTAAGCCGCTCTCCCCACGCAGAGCTCCCTTCACCAGCGTTCACCTAAATCTGTCACACAGATTTGACACTGCGTCACTTGGAGCGCACTCTGAAATGACATGTATATAATGTGGAATATTGTGCACATTTACAGCCTGGACTTCCCTTAGAGCAACGGTTTTCTTGTTTGCTTTTTTCCCCTTCCCAAAGCCCTCGTTTTTTTGTTTTTTCTCGTATAAATATTTTAACATTTTTTAAATAGTAAAGGAGTTTGTGATTTCTTTAACCTTCAGGCCTGGTCAGTGTTTAAAGATTGGGAAATTATGAAATTATTATTTAACTGATATTTGCTTTGGTTATGGTTAAAAAAAACCCCATTTAAATTTAAAAGAAATTGTTTTACATTAGGAAGTGTGGTGGATTTAAAGCTCTGTTCATTTATAGTCAGTGGACACTTTTACCAGTTGTCTTCAAATGTTACTGTGAAACATTTGAAATGCACAGGCCATTAACCTAACAACACAAATCAGCTCACATCACACTCTTAGGCATTGATATGAAAAAAATATTATTAATTATTAAACTGAAATATTAATGGAACAAAATAATAGAAAAGGAAAAAAATGTTCATATTCAGTGTTTTGTGTTACATCTGCTTCCTTTTAAGTGCACATGTGTAGAATGTGTGTTTTCTATTTAATTACAGTCTTTGTTAAAATAATACATATATATCTTTTTTCTAATGACATCAGTTTCCCATCAACAATGTGTATTTACACACTAATCCCCAATGGCATTTTCAAACTTTTGCAGCAGTCTTATCCTAATGTATTTTCTATACAAACAAAGCACTGTGGTTATTCTGTCGTATATATCTTACTCAGAAAGCTCATGTAGGAGAAAGTTCTGTATTAGGAACAAAGAGAAGACAGAGTGAGTGCTCATCACCCTGGGTTCGTCTCTTCTCTTTATATGGCTTTTGGGCTGCTGCTTTTTTCTGGAGTATTCTGGTAGCGACTGGCCTTGGTGGCCAGTAAGAAGGATTTTCTCTCCCCAGCTTCTGTGGCTTTGTCGGTTTGCACTGCACAAAGTGTCTCAAAACTGGGTTGTGGTTTAGGGCTCTCAAGACATAAAGGTTTAAAAATAAGTAATGGACTATTTCAGAATGTACTGTGTATTTAAAATGTTGTTTTTCTAGAGATGTCTGAGCTAAATGTATGGATTGCAGGTTTTAAGTGTGATGTTTGCATCTCTAGCAGCAGACCTAGGAGGATCCTTAGGATTCCCTTATGTTGTTAGAAATAAAGACTCATGGCTATTTGAGAATCTCCAGCCTTTTGAAAAGAAAATAGAGGTTATAAATCTGCTAAACATGTTTCTCTTCCTAGTGTATTTTATTTATTTATTAATTTGTTTTTGCGGAATTTTAAATTTAACTTAGCCAACTCTGGGATAATATCAAGCTGCATTTTGCTTGTTTTTGCACTGACGACTTAACGACTTGAGACGTTGTTTGGACATGACATATGCAGGTACGCAAATGGAATCAAATGCTTTTTAAATGCATTTTTCAAAACTTGGATTTCAAAGTTTTGAAATGCTTTCTCAAGTCAAAGGAAGACTAAACAAACTTTTTGGCCTATAAATAATAATGCAGGGGATGCTTATTTTCTCACACAGGTGTTTAGAGATCCTCTCTCTGATAAATCATGATTTGTAAACTTTACCATAGACAGCAGTGACAGGTTTCCTTTGATAATGTAGAAAAATGGGGAAAGAGAAGGCTGGGCTTAAGTAGAGCTGTGATTTAGAGCAGAGAGATGCAGCATCTCTCCTTTCCAGTGGAGGCCCTCCTGGGTTTGATTTAATTCTCTCCTTGCACTATTAAAAAGGCCTTCCACTCTCTTCACTGCATGCACCTTGCTGTCATAACTGGCACAAAATCATTAATCAATGCCGCTTGTAGGCAGTGCAACTAAGGCCTTTCACAGTGTATATTTTTCCATTATTGATTGTGTGTGTAATGCATGAAGAAGTACAAAGATGGGTGTCCTCCTGTGTTGGAATGACCATATTAGGCCAGGAGATGAGGGAACCTTTTTCTACATCAACTACAAATTCATAAAGCAATCATCATTCCAGCTGGGAAGAAAACTTCTTGTTCTCAAAATGGTTTTTTCTTCTTCTTCGTGTTGTTTTTATGGACTGAACTTAACAATGATCCTGTGCTGGAAGTATGACGAGTAGTTATTTGGTGCAATAAAACTGAAAGGCTGTGAATGTCAGTGTCCCCCTTTGTTGTTTAATTTATTTTCTTTTCAAAGTGAAGGGAGGTGTCCTTGCTGTGAGAGTTAGTCATTGATGTGGCTATAGTTAGTCCGTGCCCTGCTGCGACTGTCTGTTGGAGATGCTACTTCCTCTTTCCTGCTCGTTCATAGCTTCCTTTGCCCGGGATGATCGCTTTGCTTCGTGCGTTTGGCTGCATTTTGTACGGGGTTTAGTAAACTTGATCAAGAACAAAAGATGTAAGAGTGAAGCGAGTTGAGTCTCTTTGCTCTGGGGTAAAGCAAAGTCAGGTAACCTTCACAACAAAGCAAAGCACTCTTGAGATTCACATACTGTTAGGAGGTTTTAGCTATCTATGTGTGTGTTCTATTATGTGTCTTTTATTGCTGAATAAAGCATGTTTACTCTCAAATTCACTGCAAACTGTACTTTGATTACATGCTGCATTTTAATTTTTACTTATCATGATCATTTTTGTCATACCCCATGGGATTAAAGGTACACAAACACACAAAAGGACTGTAGCGTGAGTAAAATCAACGTCCTGATATTGTTTTTGTCATGCATTTCTCTGATCAGAAATAATTTTCTCTGTGTAGATACCAGCAAAGGGGTGTCACTCCACCTATGGTGCCACTGCTTCTCTAATCCAACATTAAGGTACTAAAACACAGCCTGAGTAAATAAAAAGAAAACATAATGGAAGAAACGTACAACAATGTGGTTTGAAAAAGATACATAATATTTTACTAATGCAAAAACCAGAACTTTCCTTACACAGTCCACATAACAACAAAACTTATCTTTTGCTTAGTCAATCAGTTACATCTTAAATAGGAAGAAAATGTCCCAGGAACTCAAATAATTCAAGTTAGTAGGATTTATAAGGAAAATTAAGCTTACAGTTCTTAATCTGTTTAAGTACTTGGGACATTTGGGGTGCAATGTATTAATAATATACTTTATAATGGTATTAACATTCTAATAGTTAGTGGTAATATTCATTATTCTTGGTAGACAGGCAAGATCAACGTTCTGTTCTGTAATGTCAGAGTCTGAGGCAACTTGGTATCAGAAGTTGGATCATTTCATGCATAACAACCGTACTCACTGGATTTTGCTGCATAATGTTGCTGTAAATTCTCATTATGAGCTACACAATTACATTGAAGTTTATGTCAAAATAAAGAAATGCACCAGAAAAGAGAGGCAACATGATTGCTAGATATTAATCTTATCTTTTAACAAGCTCTATTTGTTATATTTAGAGCTTTAATGATACTAAATTGTTTTATCAACAACTAACTAATGGGCTTATCAGCAATTGACAAACCCTCTTCTCAATAAGCTTATGGTAAATGGAAAGAATCTATTACCAGCTCAGAGCCCTTTATCTCAGCTGTCTTAAATATTGATGCTTACAGTAATTTGTCCCCATTTTCTATTGATTTCTTGTTTTGCTTTCAGGTTATGCTGTAAACAGGGTAAATAATGACAGATTTGAGCAGCGCTCGCTCCAGAGATGATCCAGAAGTAGCTGGCTGCGGTGCAGACATTATTTTCTCATCAGCTGAAGTTTATGCGAGGTGGCCCTCACAGTCACTGTGGCTTTCACTGGAGGCTAGGTTAGTTGTGGCATCTCTCAGAAATAGATCCGGCATGTTGTCAATGCTGCAGGAAGCCTGGCCGAAACCTGAAGATGCTGAGCAGAGCTGGCAGGGGATGTGTTGGCGTGATAATTGTAATTATAAGTCAGAGGAAAATAGGTGTGGCTTTTGCAGCAGTTTGATGAGTTCAAAGAAACAAGCCCCGGCATGAAGAGGAAATCATGAGTCAGAAGTACAGAGAAATGTTTGCAGGATTTCACAAAGGCAGTAAGTGGGCTTGCAATTATGTTTATCAACTAAAGAGCAGTGTTTTCATCAGTATTATTTGAGGTTACTAGGAAAAACTTTCTTCACCCTCCCACATATCCTCCTATTACAGCACATCTGTAACATTTTTAAGCATGCATATTCTAAGACCATGAAAGAATTATTCAACATGAAAATTGGAAAGGTTCAGATTTCCCTGTTTATTTTGCAGATCTGTGCCCAACGCCGTGATGTCTTTCCTGGGTTTTATCTCTTCTATATCGCAGTCTGGAATGCATTGCTAAGCCCGGCCACCAAGGGCTAGCATATAGCTCTCTCTGCAGGCTTTGTACAGGATGAAGAAGTCATAATCCTCAAACAGACTTAAATTCCTCCAGAAAGGCTCTTGATCCTGAATCCACTCATTTTCTTCAAACAACTCAGCCCAAAAGAGAAGGGATATTTGGGCATGGCTGAAATCCTTGATTGAAATCTGCTACAAGTGGGCACAGATACACATGTGGGTCGATACACATGCACACAAATAAGCCTAACACACAAAAATACATATGCACATACACCTCCCCAAACGTCCCTTGCTGTCGGTGAGAGCCTAGGCTGTTGAGAGGGCCTCTCTGAGCTCTTATTAAAAGGTAAACTTCTCTAAGGCCAGGGAATCATGTCAATCACAGGTTGTGTTTTCGCACCGAGCCCAAAGGCTGCTCTCTCCACCCTGTCAGACGCTGTTATCACCCTCAAAGCCATATCAGAATGCTGTTTGTTCTGCGCTTTAGTTTCACCCACACGGCGGATTCAAAAAGGTACAGGTCTATTTGATAGTGTATATTTCATTGCCGGAGAGAGACTGTGTTTGTCTTGCTGTGTTTGTCAGCTCATATTTGAGCTGAGGGTTCCTATTAAAACTAAACACCATATCAGAGGAATATTGCCACCGCTAGGTTCTTTTAAATCGCATATTGAGCCCATGGAGTGTGGAAGCAATTTAGTTGTAGCATAGTTTATAAGTGTGTCTGTGCTTGTGATGTTTCTATTTACTCTTGATTCTAATTTATTTACACACAGCAGCCTCTCGCTGCATTTTTCATATACTGTTATAATTACTTTCGTTATATTGTCACTTCCAGTTCTCTAAAAATATTACCTTGTTTGCATTTTCACTTATTTAATAAATCCCTTAGAGAGTCATGGCTATTTTCATTAAGCAGGATTGATCAAGTCCTCAAGGCAGCATCAGCTAACAGTTAAAAACTTCATGGGCTTTCACCGCTATACTTCACTTGCAGTGTGCTGTGCATTAGTGCTGGGCAGAAATTGACATCACAGTAATTTTTTAAGGTTCTGGCAGTTTCAGTGTGTCACAATACTGTTGTTATTATTATTATTACTATTCCTGCAAAAGAGTTGGTTTATAAAGGTTTACAATGGCTCACTAAACATTTGAATGTCATCATAAAAGAAATGAAACATAAATAGCTTAAAATAAAATCACCCAAGAAAACTCATAAATATTCTACCCTGAGTCTTTTATCAAAAAATAAATGTTTGACACAAAGCTTAGCCTTCTGCCTGTTATGCTTTTTTTGGTTAAATGTAATGCCATATAGTGCCACGTCCTCTAGAGCCCAGTTGATACAGAATTTTTACGACCGATACTGATACCGATATTTGGTGATTTTTGAAATCAGATATTATGAAATATAGGACTATTTTTTTTTTCTTAACTGATTTTTATAAACAGATTTCTCTTACATTTTTTAAGTGTAGCTTTTATTATTATTGTTATTCTACCTGCTTCTATTCAGATTAGCTGATTATTGTGCTTGTGGCATGCAAAAACATGTGATGCCAATAGTGAAGTGCCCTCTGGTGGACGAAATATGCAACAACACTGATGGCATTGTTGAGAGACCTTCTCCTTGTTTCTTCTTTACTTTCATTTATTGGCAGTTAAATGCTGATACCAATAGATCAGTAAATGAATATTGGCTGATAATATCAGCACAGATGCAGCATGACCAGAAATGACCCTAGTGTCCCTTGTTGTGTTATTGTGGGTTATTAATTTGAAGTCTGATATCACTTGTTTTGCAATATGATGAAAAAAGGTGTGCATCTAATACAGGCTGCTCCTGAACGCATGGTGTTCTTGGCGTGAAGTAATTTAATACATTTACACCTCTTGAAACATGAAGGTGTTTTTTTTGTTTGTTTTACTTGTTTCTGTATAGCAGCATTTGAAGAAATAATATGCCAGTGCATCAAATATAACCCCCCAGCATTACTGTACACTTTAGATGACTGACAGAGGTTGTATTGAGCCAGTAGGACAGGATGCAAGATTGCAGAGCCACCAATGTTGTCAAGTAGTGTGCTGTTAATTATTGCATGAAAATATGTCTGATAATAATGTTGCTTTATCAACCGTACGAAGTAGCTCCACATTTATTTTTAACGAAAATTTCAGGTACAGTTAGGTCACTTCTGAGATATTGTTATTGAATACTAATAATGGAAGAGAATAATTATATTTTAGATATTCTTTTTAAATTATGTGCTAAAATATTGTTAATATATATACTAAGGTCGTTTTAATATCTGAGATATTGATTCTTGTACCTAATTCCCTTTTATCTCAATATTAGTCTACAGATTGTGTATGTGTTGTCATATTAGTGTCCTCTAATTACTAAAGTATCAGCTAGCTCCTGCCCATTCTCCTACCAATGGAAACCAAAAGCAAAGCAGAAAGGCTATCCCAGTCATTAGTACGTTTGCTGGACAAACTGTGGGATCTAACACTGTGGGAGGCTAGGGAAATAAAAAAGGTACTTACGCTAGTATTGACCTTGTTGCTGGACCTACTGCTGTTTGCTCTGTGGCCAGCTTTCCACAACAGACACGCACACACCCACACATACATTACATGGTTTTGCATGCATGTCAGAGAGCAATACAGTGAGTGATGAAGGATGAAAACGCTACTGGTTTTGCAGTATTGTCAGGCAGTCTTAGCAGCGCTCGTCGTGCATACATTTTGTAACAACAATAACAAGTGGCCAAATTTAAAGAAAGTAATTATAATCGCATGAGCAAACGCAGCTAATTTTTCACTGAAGACACTTTTTAATCCATAAATGCATTTTTAGTTGTTCCTATGGCGCTGGAAAACAAACAAGATAAAAAGAACAAAACAAAAAAAAAAAGTTAAGGCTGTTCATTAGTACCACAAATGGCAACCTGCTCCTGTCAGTTTGAGAACCCATATCTATAAAGCAGCCCAAGGTTCGTGACGGAACGCCATGTAAACAACTCATCACTGCAACTTCGACTGATTAACATATGATTGCAATTCATCATCTCATGTGCAGCCGGTGACATCTTGCAGTAGCATTTATTCCGTGTTGATACATGCCTTTGGTTCCTTTTTGACAACTCAAAACAAACAGATTGCAAGCTGTCGCTACATTTGCCCAAGATGAATGGGGAAAATGAATCGGTAAATCAGGTGTGTCAGGTGATTAACACAATCATGCCTGAGATCCTTGTGGAATCACTGGAACTTAGTATGTTTGGATAAACACTGACAGTGGAACAGACTGTCTGAACAGTGTGAACAATGTGAACAGTCAACAGTAACTTGCGTCTATAAACTATTATACTGTGAAGCCTTCTGTGCATAACAGGCATTGCCCTGATGGTATTAACATTACCCCGTGGTACTGAAATTTACTGTCTGTGACCAGATAAAATGGTCACCTAGTCACCTTGCTGCTGAAATTAATGACAGCCTGTTGCAATTGACTTTACTGTTACTGAAATAGGCTTATTGGAATCAGTAATAATTATAAACATATAATTTAAAAAATGGCCTAGATACTGCAGTATATAATATTGACATACCATTCATATTGTCAGTATTTGCAAATATACTAATTGGAATTGATTAAAAATTATGAAACTAAGTATGCATAACTGCTCTCTGTATATCTTTGGTTTTAGTACTTCACTGACAAGTATTGACACCTTTTGATAAATTAACATTGCTCAGCTGATAAGTTTGTGTGTGTTGGACAAGGGAATGATAAAATGCTGTAATTTCTTTCAGAAAATATTAATATCTTATAACAATTTTTGCATAACTGTTGATCCCTGGAACAACTTTTTTCAAATGACTAATTTAACAGACAGAAGTGAATTGGGTTGAAACTTCCAAATCCTGTTTATCTTGCACACTTCTGGATTTGGGAATGTGGTGAACAGAGTCACTGGGGACATTCAGCTCTGTTGTGCAGCTGTCATTTGCTAGTAATGGGACGCAGTCACCAAGGAACCCCTTGAGTATGTGTGCTGGGAGAAAACCGACAGAGGCGAAAGAGAGAAAAGAGAGATTCAAACGAGTGAGCAATAGTGAAGGCAATAGAGGAGCATTTGTATGGTCTTCCTTGCCACTGAAGTAGTAAAATGGAAACATATTTCTCCCCTGACAGCTACAGTAGATCTAACCCTCTGAGTTGAGCTGCTTATGATGTTGTGTGGTGTTGAGGTGGACCCCAGGGGTGTCCCAAAGGCTTGTTGTTTCTTGTCAGAGATTAGATTGAACCAGGCGGCTGTGGTTCATACTCATGCCTGAGAGAAGCCAAGACTCCCTGTCACCGAACACAACCTCTGAGCTTTGCTCTGTAGCACCGAATCTAGATGTATTTCTTATTGTAGAATAAAGTTTGTTATTTTAAAAATAAGCTCCACCTTCTCTGGGGGTTTCCATGCTGCTGAATATTTGCTCACTGCAGCACACTGTACACTGATGCATGACTGGCCACTGGGAATGAAAAAGGGGATTTATTCACATGTTTCTCAGCTGACATTATGTTTATTTCTCACTTCACACATTTTCTTATTTTCCTACAGTTCCACTTTTTACATATTCATTTCATCAGCCCTTAAAAGATCAGATGGAGGGTTTTGCCAAGAGTCTGTTCACTGAAAAAATTTGTAGAATTCATATCAAAGTTGAGGCTTTGTAAATTTGCGTTGCTTCATTCCTTTGAAAATGTGCCAAAAAATAGGTTGAAATATCTCCAAGCAAGTTTTTTTTTTCTTTTCTGAGTGTGTACCACATAAATTTGCCACCTAGATAGATGGAAAAGAAAGAGAAGCACTTTTTCTTCTTCCTGTCAGTCTCCTCCATGCGTCTTAAACATAGTAATCTGATAAAGTAACTGATTTTCCTTCATCATCTTGGGGATTTTTGATAACAATTAGCGGTGTTACTGCATTGAGAGGTTTAACATTTCTTCAATGGGTCTTCTTCCTCTTTTTTTCTTTTTCTTTTTTGTGTGGGCCACTAGTCCATCTTCATTTTGTGGTAATCAAATTTATCTTCTCCTATACTCCATATAATAGATTCAATATTTATAATTTTTAGGTTCTGAGTATAGTACTCGTTTGGGTTTTGGGGAATTGTATTTCATGATTGCCTTCAGACTGTACTTAAGTAAATTGCACTGTAATTGTCTGGTAATAGAGATTTTTTAGAAATCACCCCCTCTCCAGCAATAATCAATTTGATGCATGCTTGTCTGCTCTGTGAAGGAAGAGGTTAGCTGTCCCCGTTAGTTTTAGACAGAAGGTTTAAGCAGGGATCCACTGAAGGCATCTGTCAGTGAGGTAAAGAGCACTGACAGCCATACATCATCTCTGCCTAGTGGAGGCCCCTGTATTTAAAAGAGTACTGCAGTCAAAAGCCCATAAAAGTGAGTGACTCCTCGGGAGCATCTGCCACTGCATGCAGGGAGGAGATTCAATGTGAAAAAGGGGAGATAATGTGCTCACTCACTAATGGGCACCCGACTAGACACAGGCTCATTTTTCACATCATGTCATCTGTAAGGTTTGAATAAAAGTAATGGCCACAATGAGCCTGGATCTCTCCCAGTCATTATGGCTTTTGCTTCCTCACTTTTATTTGTGTTGACTTGTACAGTCGGAGGAGATGACAGTCTCTGGGCCTGTGGATCAGTCAGAGTGATGATCTGCACTGCTCTCCTCTGCTGCTGACAGGTCCCTTCTTTCTGGCAGGCATGTGAGGCCAGAATGCCACACTACGTCATATCAAATGCTGTAATCTGACAGAATAAAAGGATTTGCACACTGGGGACATCACAAACTCTGTCTTTTGTAATTTTCTGACAGAGACAGAAGGGGGAAATGGAGGGGTTTCTACAGTTTCATGTAGTAAGAATTAGTGTCAGTCAAAGTTAAGTGGCTATTTTAAGATAAATAGGAGAGGATTTCCGTGGCATGTTTTAGGGCACTGGGCTTTAAAACACTATGCTAATGTGAGTAGATACTGATCGGGCGTTGGATGTTTTCATTTCTGAAACATTCAGAGTCGCAGGACACAGCATGTCTAAATATCCATTCTGAAAAGGTTAGTGCGTAATTAACGCTGAAATTCACTGCCACTGTCAGCCACGTTCAGTTCAGAATAACAATAAATGCCCAAATGATAATCTTTTCATCTTTAGGATGCACTGTGGAAAAGATACCCTATCTGAATTTGTAAAATATAATAAAAAAAATGGTAACAATGATGATGACAATAATATTATCATTATATTTACTGACAGATTAGTGTTGTATTGGCTCTCTTGAGTAATGTTTTTTCCGTACTTATAAAAGTGAAGAAATGCCTCGATATTATATAACACATATTTTACAGTTCATCTGATACTTTTAAAATAAAAGACTGTTTTGCGTCGGGCCCTATAAAACTGGGAAGGCGGATGAGAAAACAAGTGATTTCCTTATTAGGTTCAGGAGTCAAAGGCCTTCTTCCATAGATGTGAGCTTCAAGAGCCCAGAAGATTAAGACATATATTGGATTCAGGATGGAGGCCACAAAGTTCATTTTTAAAATAAAACAGAATATTATTCACAGTCCTTTTAAAATTCAGATTGCCGGCTGACCTGTGACTTGGAAGTAGTGCATTACATTTTCAATGAGCTG